CTACAGCCCAGGCTGCCTCCAATCTTAACTTCTCTAATGGTATCCTCCACATTTGTGAGGACCAGGTCCAGTAGGGCCTCACCTCGGGTCGGTCCATCTATTACCTGGACCAGGAAGTTGTCCTCGACAGACTCCAGGAATCTCCTGGATTGTCTGCCACCTGCTGTGCCACTATCCCAGCAGATATCCAGGTGGCTGAAATCCCCCATCAGGTCAAGATCCTGCACGCAGAACACCTCCTGCAGCTGGAGCAAAAAGGCCTCATCAACAGGCTCCCCCTGATCAGGTGGCCTGTAGCAGACCCCAACCACTAGATGCCCTATACTGGACTGATCCTTGATTTTTACCCATTATTTTTACCCTTGATTTTAGTTCTGTAAGGTAAGCAGTTTGTGAGTAAACCACAGCATTGTGAATGACAGGTAGCCAGTTACAAACTGTCAGTCTTCAATTAATTCATTTCCAGATATTCGTGACTCCACTCAGGAGCCCTCCTGACTGCTTCTGTACAGTAAATAAACTCAAAAACAAAGTCATGTTTAAATAGTAAGACCTAATAGGATTTTTTGCCTGTAATAGAAGATGCTCTACATCTACACAAATCCTGCAAACTCATTTTTGATTGTAGCAATTTTAAAAGGAAGCTTATTCTGAAAAATATGAATAGCTTTGCTACAAAAGGACAAGCCTAAATTGGAAGACTCCATGTAACATGCTGCAATCACCAACAGGAACTACAACATTTTTAGCTTATTTAGAGTAGAAACAAACAACACAGTGCAAAGTGAGGAATAAAAATGAAGAGCTAAACCCACTTGTCCTGGTGAGCAAACCCTCATTCATAGCATTCTAGCACTGTTTATTTTTTGCCTTGAAAGTAATGACTGCTGGTGCAAAAAAGGGAAAGAAACTTGTAAGAGAAAAAGTTGCTCACTGGGAGATTCCTATTGCAATCTCCTGGAAAAATTTCAAGTCACATTCTTAAAAGTCATTTGGAAGGAATTACAGTCCCAAGTCTTTTTTTTTTTATCCCAAAGTTCTGTGAAATGTGAAAAAACAAAGAATCACTAGTTTCAGCATTAATTTTGAGCAGAACAAAAAAGAATGTTAAAAGAAATAGCATTCATTACAGTGAATTCATAGAAATAGACAAAATATTTGTGCAGGAAAAAAGTATTAGCAATTCTAACCTTCAGAGTGTCTCTGTTTGCTTCAGGTAGAAGGAGAACCAAAAGATTCAAAGCTTGCAGTTGTTGTTTCTTCGTTGGAAGATCTGCCAGTGAAGCACATAAACCTCAGCATTTTAAAATTGTCATTTGTCCTCTTCAAAAAGCAAGATTTCAAAGTCAAAACCTCTTGCAAAACGTTGAACGCATACACATGGCTAATTGTCATAGTATGACAAAGGACTGGCAGATCCTTCTTTTCTGATACTCATTTCCAGATGTTTTTTTTTTAGGATTCAGTTGCTGTATGACTCAGCAGTCTCCTGGCAATATTTTCTAGATGTCTTGTGATTCTTTATTTTGCAATGTTACAAGAAGAAATAGTCAGCTAACAGTTCCTCCCTTTTTGAGCCTGTGCCTCAACATATGAAAGGGTATATTCAAAACTGCTTTCACAGTTTCTCTGATTGTCTTAACAGTTGCGTAGTCTCCCAAGTCACCCACGCAGAACGAATACTACATGTTGCTGAATGAGGCAGGTCTCCAGTGACATAAGCAGCAGCAGCTGCAATGGCAAACCAGTGTACATAAAGCCAAAAGGAGAGAAACTTAACACATATCTACTGCAGTGAGTGCTGTACCAAATGCAGCAAGCTATAATTACAGAAAAGTGACATTGGTTCTGCCTTTATCTACCCCCAATTTCTCAGGGGGGCATCATTCACTCAAGATGCAGGATGAGTGCATCCCTACACTCCCCCACCTCCTAGAAGAGCTCCTACGTTGTGGCAGTGTTGATCAGCAGAAAGCCCCAGCTCTCTCACTTTTGTCACTTGTGATAAACTTCCACCTGTCATGCCTTAGAAGACACACTCTGGCAAGCCTTCCCAGCAGATTCCTAATGAATCAGGCCATATATAAAACAAGTGAAGAAGAAGGTACCTGCACTTGACATAGTTTAATCACATTATCTCAAACTTCAACAGGGCTGTTTTCATGCATCCTGCTGGGATTCCAACTGAACTGCTATTTCAAATACATTTCATCCAAATCAGTTTGGGAGATATCACCAAAAAAAAAAAAAGTTCATTGATAAAATAAAAAAACCCTCTTGCTGACCACTTTCTACCGTAATAAAAATTAAGGACGTGAATAACTGAATAACAAATTATGTAGCCATTTAAAATATGCAAGTAGTGATAACAGTGTATCACCTGCTCTAGGAAGACATACATTAAAAGTAAGGCTTAAATTTAGTTCCAAAACACCATGTCACAATACTGAAAAAGCAAGGAGAATCAACCTCTTCATAGGAAAGTAAGCAAAACCACAATTGCCAAACAATTAGAATTTATTACTTAAATCAATGTTTTCTGTCTGTCCACCTAAAAAACAACTGAATTTTAGTTTAAATTCCTTAAATTAACAAATTATTTAAATTAAGTTGTTTAAATATTTAATTCTAATCACACTACTTACTCACAGTATCAGGAAAAACACTGCCTACTGTCACAAAGATGGCCCTTTTTCTCTAACACCTAACCAACAAGACGGGCAGACAATTTAAACAATGGGATCCTATGAAGTGCGACATCTGTTTGGCATCAAATCCTTTGGCTCAAACTAGAAAGTGTTTTGGATCCTGGCACTTGAGTATTTTCTGGGTAACCACATAAGCCTTCAGACAGGACAGGAGCAGCAAGCAGAAACCCTCCTGGCTCCAATCAGAATCCGGTAAATGGAACACCCTTGAGGAGCTGTTTGCTGCAAGCATAATTTGAAAGCATTCTGGCCTTAACTTGCCACTCAGTACTACAAAATAAACAACACTGTGTAGCAGGCCTAAGCACCAGCCACCTCCTCCCACCAACTTAATAGCCTTGAAAGGAAGCTCACAACAGTTTATAAGAATATTCATTTTTCTGCCTGTCCAGGGGAATTCCCTGAAAGCATCCCTTAGAAATCAGCCATCGCTCTGCCTGCAGACAAGGGGAATAGATTTTTTTGAAACTAGCACCCTTGTGTTGGCTGGGGAGCTAAAGTATGTGGTTTCTCACTTGTGTTTCATTATCAGCAAGCTGCTCTCTTTCCGTTACAGCTGGTGTGTTTGCTGTCTTGGTGACCAGCTGGCAAGGAAGACATTTTCACAGGAACTTGCTAAGCTCAAGGGACATGGGATGATCAGCAGTTCTGACTATTCTGCTCTAACTTTTCCAGTTGTAAATGGATAAAATATCTTAAACAGTATAAATTACCATTTGTTAGATTTTCTGCAGAACTACTATACTTTGCTGTTGTTTTCTTTTGAAGCAAATACTGTTTATAAACCGATAGCATCATACACAATTTCCTTATAACCCATCTATACCTCCAAACAACTATCAGAAACATCTTATCAGAAAGTGGCAGTGTAACTTCATTTTATGTGTAAACTATTAAAAAAGATGTTACACGAAAAACATTATTTGTACATTAGCAAAAATATGCCCAGTCTTTTCTCAGGAGGAGTCATATTGTTGTTATTCAATTTGTTTTTCAGTCTCACATATTATTAGCAAAAATACTGCTGCAGCAAAGAGGCACTTCTCTGCACTGGTATCAATTCTTCGCAGCTGAGACAGAAAGGACAGTACTCACTCTGTACATCTTGGAAAGCTTTGAGATATTCTACAGTGAGGAGTGGCTGAGGCAATTCCCGGATGAAGAGTTTTAAAAGACTCGCTGCATCATGTTGCTTTACATTTTCCCAGTTGAAAGTCCCTTCATAAAATTTTGCTTCCAGTTCTTGGCAAAGACTCTGAAAAGCAGAAGATACAGAGAGCACCAATAACACTTGTCTGCTGGAAGTCATGCATTATACACACAGCAATACTTTCCATACTTTGAAAGAGGGAGAAAAAAGGGACATCTGAAATATCACTTAACTCCAGCTGCCAATGATCTTTTGCTACAAAAAGATAAACTGGGGATCAGAAGCATGGCAAGCAAACACATAGTAATAGGTAACAGATGGCCAAATGATATAGGAACAAATCCTATGGACCTGCCTGTGGGCCATATAGAATATAATATAAGAACCAGATATCATACTTATTCATATAAGGGTTATGACTTCCCCTCCCCCAAAATATTAGGATGTAGCTGATATACATAGCAATTCTGAAACTACTACCAAAGGGTGTAGCTGTAATGTATGCATGGCCATTTACATAAAGAAATATGGCAATTATATGTGTTGACACACAGTTTCCTACCAAAACATACACAAAGGTGAGGATGGTTCTCTTTTTAAAACACAGGGAAAAGACTATATGACTGGATAGCTGGATGTCTTGCCATCTACAGGGAACTCCATGCTGCTGGGCACAAACAGCTTTACCTTGCACTGGATGCCAAACATGCCCTCTATGTAAGGGGACTGTACTGCAAAATACGAGGTTAAGCAGCAGAATAAACAGCACTGAAAGTCTCAGTGACACCTTGTATCTCTGGGGTTGGGAAAGGGCAGGATACTATTGGCAGCGGACTTTACCATATACCTGCCCTGCTCACATGGCAGTGCTATTACTAGGCTTCCAGAGATGTACAAATGGAAACACGCTGCAAAGACTGAGTCCCTCTTAGTCCCCTAATAAGCATTGGTCCCGGCCTTGCACCCACATCATTTATTTCCCAATCTGGCAGAGTGGGAAATGGCCTCAGGTATAGGGCCAGTGGCCCTGAGGCACATCTCACAAGTCCCTCCTTTCTTCTTGCCTCAGCTCTTCCAGACAGAAAAGGAGGACAGAGACACTGGCTTGTTCTGTAAAGTATGTGAGATGAAGTGAGGGGAAGTGCTATGGAAAAATGTGGCCTTAATTATTTATCTGGACAAGAAGGGCAATTGGATAGAGGATACTAGATGCATTTTTAAGATACTGTTCTCATTAAATTAACTTTGTCCAAATGGAAAATGGATCTATTTCTAAAGAAAATGTGGACACTTAGTTTGATATAAAAGTTGGATGTTCTCAACAGTCCTCCAGAGAGATCTTCTGTCTCCACTGATTAAGTACAGGATTCAAAGGTGCAGACATCCTAACACAGATGGCTAAAGTCAAGTGGGTATGATTTCCTGCTCATGAACAAAAGCAAGCTTTAGAAATAAAGATGAAAATTCTCCCCGAGTCTCATCAGCTCCTCCATCCCCATTCATACCAAATCACTGTGGCAAATGCAGTATTAAACATCTCGATAAAATTAATTGTTTTATTTTAAAGGCAAGGGCAGAAATGTCAACTATGCATCCTAATGCACCAATGCTTAGATTTTAAAGTAAATGTGTTTAACTATGGGGTATATGCAATTAATTCTTTTAATAATAACTCTAAAATCTATAGAATAAGACAGCAAAATATTTTTTGTTGAGATGATCTGTGCCTTTCTATAAAACCATATAATGAGGAAAATATTTTTCTATAGGAGAAAAAAGGTTTAAGAAAATTAAGAGAAAACATCAGTCCTTTAATATGCTAAATTCTTTGTGTTTCTGTAAAATTTTCTATTTGAATAAGTAAAGGAACTTAACATCTCTGCTAACAAAATAATTGCTTAATTCAAAGATGCAGCTCCTGCAAATAAAGGGGTAAAAAATTAATGAAAGTCATATATTGAATGATCCCCTGTCTGGGAAATCATATTAAACTGATAAAATCAAAGAATAAAAAATAAAATAATTCCAAAATCATTCCAGTACGCAGAACTGATGAAAAGTGGAAAATAAAGAATGGAGAAAAATTGTAAAAAAATAATATCTTAGTTACTGGTAAATAAACAAAGCCAATTTCCATAATATTTCCTTCTTTCAGTTCTTTCTAATGAACCAGCTGCTGGACTGAGTTCTACACAACAGAGCCTGGCAGATGTCTTCGGACAGCTGAATCCACTCAAATGGTCCTTTCTGTTTAGAATTTAAGGCCAGTTCAGACCATCTTTTTAACACATTGGCTCTTGGTGTGAATCATACTGTGTATTTAGTTTCCTGCATTAAGGCAAGTACTGGGGAAGAGTCTGCATGCCTTTGGCACTCACTCTGCAAAGTGTCGGTGAGTACGGACATGCCTAACAAGATTGCACTTAGTGAGCTGAGTAGTTATATTGCTGTTCACAAAAATAAATGTGAGAGGTTCTTCAGTGCACGCTGGCTGCCTTGCCCTGTAACACAGGTTAAGTCTAGCTATTAAAATAGCCTCACAATGCTAGAGAAAAGCTTCCTCCTGGAATAGAAAGACTATGTATGAACTGTTCAGATGATTAAACTGGTTCAGGGAAAAAGCAAAAGACTGGAAAACTCGTGCCAAGAATTAATGAGATTTTGGCACAACTGAATTTGAAACATAGCTTTGTCTCTCCTTCAAACTCGAACTCCAGTCTTCTTTCCAAAATGACCCTGGATGAAACCATCAGCTTCCCGGCTAATATAGCTCAGTTTTCTTTGCAAAGAGATTTTGCTTTCTGTTTTTGAAAATTTTCATAACAACCTGGTATTAAAACACATTTCCACAACAAAATAAAATCAGGAAGTGCAGGTTAAGTTTTTGGGGATGCTGAGAATCTGTGCAATGTTTTACCTTTATTCTTGTTGCAACACCTGGTATTCTAAGAAGTCCTTCAGTTTCCAGAGTTGCCTCTTCTATGTGGGCAATCAGCTGCCAAACACAAAGCAAATTGCGTGAATGAGGATGCCACTTAAAAATTATTGGTAGATAGTTCTAATATACAGGAGCCTTTATGTAAGTATCTATTTATGTACATGTGTGTGCATGCATGCATTTGTGCATTCACATATGTAACAAGTAGACACACAAACAGTTCACAAATGGACTACACTCATTATAGATGTAGGAAAAAACCTTTAATATGGCTCTTACCTGTTTTACGAACACTGTTAAAGAAGAGTTTGTCTATTTTATTAAAAAATAAAACTGTATTTCTTTAGATCTCCTTTGGAGACTGAAGAAGTTTTTTTCCAAAATTACACTGTCTTAAAAAATAAATCCAAATTACTACCATTGTTAAAATGTCTCTGAATCAAAACAAGGTAACATCAGAGATACAGTACTAACTTTCTCACAAATACTCTTCTTTACAGCTTAACCAGAGAAGATCTAAGTACTTGAAGGCTTTAAGGAAGCTTCAGTTTTGAAAATCCTGGTATTCTCCTAACGGACTCAACAGTTTGCAATCCTATGCACAGCATAGATAAATTAGTAGAAATTCTGTAAAAGTACTTAAAACACATATCATAAATTTTCTCTAAAAGAGATGCCTAGAAGCATCCACTGAAGGATGGATCTAAGAGTATTCCAAAGAAATTTGTAAACGTCCAAAACTGATGACACAATTTTAGCACAGATGGTTCTCACAATGTTTAACTAGGGCAGTGCCTTTGTTAATACATTCCTGTGCCAGGTCTTGAGTAAGAAAATTTATTCAACACAGTTGTGTTTTCTCCAATTACAGAAATTAAAGCGGGTTTACCTACCACTGTATTTATGTAACTGATTAATGCCATAAAAAAGATCAGACAGAAAAAGCCAGAAAGCATCACTAAAGATGTCACCCAGTACATTGTCCTTGGTTAAAAAAAAAAAAAAAAAAAAAAGGGAAAAGAAAAAAAAAAAAAAGCGAGAGAGAAACAGAAAGTGCTAACTGGCCACATCCAACTCTCACTACCCAGCTTACTCCAGAGCCCTGGCTGCCACTCCCATCTGTTGGACACAAAGACACTGTGGACATGTTGTGTGATTTGACACGGTCACTACGTCTAGAGAGAGGCAAGGTCTGGTGGCACTGCTGGCGGCTGCGACTCCTTCGCACACACTCACAAGTTCCCCCTGGCAGACACTGCTGCCTGCGGGAAATCCCCTCTTCATCTCTATCAGGGCTGCCTAGCAGGTCAGAGACCTGAATTACTACCAGCAGAAACTTCTGGTGGAGATACGTGGATCAGTATTACCCTCTGATTTTCCAATGGGAAAATGGTTAGGCTAAATTATATCATTATTTTTAACTGTAATTCCTCAGTGAAATGAAAATTTGATGTACTTTTTAGTAAAAGATTTTTCTTTAATTAAGCAGATGTCCTCTTGGTTTGGCTTGGTTTGTTTCATTTCAGTGATAACCAAGGTACTTTTAAAAAGCACTACACAAAAAAATGTTCTTTCTTGCACTTTATGTAAATGCCCTATTCTTGGAAAGCACATGCTGTAGAGAACAGGCAGAAGAAATGGGAAACGTCTTAGTTTCATATTCTCATTTAAAGAAGAACTGTATTCCAAATGATGTCTGCACCTTTCAAAACAAATCCCACCTACAAGCTAGAAATGTTTATGGAGAATTTTCTTCCTGAAGAACTATGCTTACTATGTTGCTAGGACAGCACAGTGATCAATCACTTTTTTGCTATTTTATTTCTTTTATTCTAGATAGTATCTTTCCCAGAAATGTATTTTTATGATCCTGAGGAAGTAATTTCTGGAGTGAATGACACAGCAAAAGTTTTGAGAGTGATGCAAAATTACTTTTTCTGTTTCCTGAAAAATAACAAGGAGGTCCCCAAACCTACTGAAAAGGTGGTGACACAGCACTGAGTTTCTGTCAGGGTTAGGACAGGTCTACCCACTGTGGTCTCCCCCTTCTCATGCAATGAGACCTGTTATGCACAGGCAGTAAATCCAGGGTCTCCGTCATCTTTCCTATTATCTTCCGCATTACCATGACATGATACAGGCCAAAGCATCCCCCCACATACTAAAGTAACAAAGCTTTTGGAAAAAGGCTGCTTGCACCACCAGAGGCTGTTATCCAGGCTCATTTCCACCCCCCTAGATACCTGCTTTGTGGCCCAAATCACTTCTGAAAGGAGGAAACCACTTCTTAGAAAGACAGGTTCAGCCTGTGGGCCAGGGATTGAGAACAGCTATGAAATTTCAAGGATTTGCTCTGAGAAAAATAAAGGGCAGCCCTACTTAACGATGGAAGTTACACCACCTGTATAAAATGGAATTTGGCTGTAGTGGGTTCTTACACTGATTTTCAGTCTTCACAGACTTATTAGTAAACTTGCCTAAATCATGGAGACCAATTGTAACAAAATATAAACTTTATTCCTTTAGCTCAAAGTATGTCTGATACAAAGAAAAGTATCACATCTACTGAATTAATAAGTAAAGTTGCAAGTAAAAGTTACAATAACTTTGATTGATTAATGTACTTCAAACTGTGCTACAGGGAACAAATAAATCCAGGACAAAATGTTATTTGTTTGTCATTTGCAGGTACATAACAAGTTGACTTGTTAGTATCTATTTACCTTTTGAAAAATCAGTGGGATCTTGGTTCCTGGTAGCTTCTTCTGATCCTGTTCCAGTAAAACTGACAGTGGGACACCAAACAAGCCAGAGTCTGAAGAATAAAGCAAAAGAAACTGAGATTATTATCCACATCTGTTCCAGTAAATGTGATAACGGCATAAAACCACATTTTAAGCAATAAGCCTATTCAATACATTCTGAGATATTGACCTTTTGTTCAAAGTGTTTGAATGTCTTCATCAATCAGGTTATTACACAAAGCATTCTGAATAAAAGGATTCATTTATCTCTTCCTTCAACCATAAATCAGGAGTCTTCTGTTTTGACTTCAAATTGCCATCCACATATTCTTCAGTACAGTGAAGCAAACTTCATAAATGAACCATCTGCGTGGTTTTGGTTCGCAGAATGGGTGTTATGATGACCCTGCAATGCAGATCTCCACCACTCAATGCAAGATATTATAGTTAAGATGCAAATGGCATGAGTAAAATATCCACAAAATTTGCCTACTAAAATGAGACAGATGTAATTACCACCCAGTACTTTGAATACTTCTCTCTAATGAGGGTTTTGAAAGAAGAGCTTTTCAACCCTTGTGATTTTGCGTTTTACAAAACTAGCAGGATAGCAAGATCACCATCTCACCAAAGGTGTTTTGTTTTGTTTTTTTTAAATAAAAGCAAAAGTACAGTTAAGTCTTGGTTAGAAAACAACTTTTACAACAGTGTTAAGGCAATGAAAATTTAAAAAAATGGAATCTAGTCTCAGTTAATCTAACTCCGATGCAAACCTAGTCTTAGCCTCGAGCTACATGGGACTCCCATGTGTTCATGGCCCAGCTGAAGAGAAGTGAATGACCATTAAAGAAGAGCTGTATTAGTAACAATTAACCCAAAGTTTGCTGACATAGAACTTCTCTGTCAGAAGCACTGATAATTGCCGTAAGTGCAATTTTTCTGAAACAGCATGTAACACTACATGTAGCTGAATACTCATACTTTGTATGATGCCATGCCAATACCAAGCACAGAACAGTTTAATTACTAAAAAGATGTCTGCCCTTGAAGGAATGTGATATATGTCAAAGAAATATCAGTTTCAGGGCCAAGTCAGGGAGTTCTTGTATATCTACCTATAAAATATATAGGGACTCATACATACAGTCAATATCCATACCCCATAGTTCTATCATCTTGAAGATCTTGTCAATAATAAAAGTTTCTACTGAGATGAAGTTGCAGAAGGAGGTCAACAGAAAGGCAGGGCTGGGCACAGCACAGCATTCCCCAGCAGAATTATGTTTTCATCATCTTTACATACTCAAGCACAAAAGGGAACAGCCAATAGATCCACCATTGTATGAAACAATACACCTCAGGAGTAAAGAGGTGAGAGTCAGGTAGACCAACAAGGCACTGAAGGTGTTACATTGCAAAAGCAGATTTGTTTAGCAGAAAGGGTGACATGCCATTGTCTATTTCCTACACGTCCATGAGTCTAGCCCATCTTTTTTATGTTTTAAAAAAGTTTTTAATCAATTCAAGATTTTTCATGACTGCCTGTCATTCAGATAATAATGCTATGAGTGAAATTCAATTAACAATAAATTTGTTAAGAAGAATCAACTAAAACTTAGACCCAAAATACAAGAGAATAAAGTGTTGTCTCTGTTCATTACTGAAAGCCCAAGCACTTCTTGCAAGAAGAAAATGCATTTAAGGGATCAAGGTCTCATAGATATTTCTGTGTATGCCTTTTGCTTTTAAAAAGTTATTTTGTACTACTGTAAAGCAAAGAGCATATTCTGAAGAATCTATTGTACCTTGCTGTATATCTCTCAACCCTTTCTGTTGCTTTAAATTATTTAAAGTGACCTATTGCACTGTCACATTCACTGCACTTTGACATAGGGTTTTGGCTAAACCAGGCTTGTGATTAAGTGGTAACACATTTCAAGCTCTTGTAAAGCATTTAGCAGAAAACAGAAATACAGAAAACAAACAAGCACTGAAAAATTCTAGCATCTTGAAATTGGTTTCCATGTGTCCTATGGTCCCAAGAAAAGCACTGGGATTATACATATGCTCCAACAGCTGGCAGAGCAAAATGATGCATTGCAGCTGTCTCAACATCCTCTGCAACAGCCCAAATCTTCCACTTAATATGATGTTATTCAGCACAAAAATTGCATTATGGCCCAAATAAATACTGGATGGGCAAGGCCTATGGGACACAGGAAAGTCTGTACCAGACAGAAGAGGAAAGCAGGTGACAAAGGTTCCCCAGCATCTCCAGCCAAGGGCAACAAAAGCAAAAGTCAGGTAAAATCAGGGAAACACAGAATCATTTAGGTTGGAAAAGACCTTTAAGATCATTGACTCCAACTGCAAAAGTAGCAGAGTACCTACTTTCAGAAAAGCAGGAAAAGAATACCCACAAGAAACACACACAAATGCTCTCCCAAGGCATATATCAGCACACAAAAATTTCTATGAAGCAATTCTTCCTGCACAGCACACTACTAAGATAGTTCCTCTTCTTCACTCCTTGGTTTACCTGCTCAGTGACTGACCTGAGTTTTAACTTTAGACAAAAAGTATGGTCTCATAGCTGGAGTGACTATGTACATGAACTTGCTTAAAGTGGGCCTCGAGTTAAGGCATATAATTAAATGCTGCTCAGGACCTATGTTAATAAAAATTTTCTTCTGGAAAATCATAAAGAAACAGATGCTTTATTGGATTAAAAAAGACCTATTTGATTCAGAATATGAAACAATGACTCACCTTTGGTTTTGATTTTTACAGCTTTTTGCTGCTTGAATTCTGTCCCAAGTATGTCATAGAGAGCAGTTAATTCAATCAGTGCTAAAGAATAGACTTTCTTCATGTCCTGAGGGGCCAGGTCACCAATCTTTGTGGTACCTGTTTTGTCCTTCGGCAGCCTGAAATTCTAAAAGCAGAGATTTGCAGCAGAGTGAATAATCCAAGTTATAACAAATTACTTAGCTCAAAGGCTGTGCTTCCTTCAGGGCACAGCCTGTCATCATGAAGTCTGCTGCTACTCACTAAATCATGGGAGAATCCCCCAAATAGGTTGAAAACCCGATAATCTTCGCTGTACATCTCCAAGAACAGGCTGGCTTTGTCCTGCTTGTAACCACCTCCCACCTTCCCACACCACCACCTTCTGTATCCTTTTGCAATTTATATTGGTGGAAATGGATGTCCATGAACAATCCTATGCCCGTACAATTGGGATTGAAATCACTCTGAACTTGTGAACACAAAACAACATATTTGGCTGCCATACAAATAGTAATAAAAGGGTTCCCCTCTTTAGGAAAGGGGATCCTTAATTATGTCTCATTTCTACTGCAACAAATGCTCAGAAGCTGCAGCCAGAGACCAATATAAGGAATTGACCCAAGAGGGCAAGGCAGAGCAACTTCACAGCTCGTAGAGCTTTTTAACTCCACCTCTCTCACCAGCAGGCTACCAAGTAAAACTCTTGCTTGTGCCTGACATTAGCAGTGAGCATGACTCAAAGCAGGGAGGCTGAAAAGACTTTCTTCCATTTGGAAAGATGTATTACTCCACAATTACTTTCCCATACTGTACAAACTCAGCCATAGCATAGATGAATTGATGGGTATGGTACATGACTACAAGGGCACATACCAAAACATAAGCATAATTTACAAATTCTAGGCATACAGTCAGTTTCTTGCCTTGAGGTTTCATTGGCTTGCACAAACACCTATGTTTAAAAATAGCTACCAATGACAAAAGTGTAACAAATACAAATTGTAGATTTAAATAGGTATCTTCCTTCCTTTTCCTATCATTTTGCCACTCTTAATCGCTAAAGCAGAAACCCCATACCCAGGTCCTTGAGCCTTGCTCATAATCCTAGATAAAAGTATAGCTAATGTACGCATTATGCATATATATATGCATATATACAGAAGATAAAGTATAGCTATCGCTTCCTTGGTATAGGCTGCATTAGAGAAACATGACTCAAATATTTCAGAATCCATTTCTAAATATCCCTCAGTGTCTGGTTTATAATGTTTAAATTAGGATCATAGAATCATAGAATGGCTAGGCTTGCAAAGGACCTTAAAGATCATCAAGTTCTATCCCCCCTGCCACGGGCAGGGACACCTTCCACTAGACCAGGTTGCTCAAAGCCTCATCCAGCCTGGCCTTGAACACCTCCAGGGATGGGGCATCCACAACTTCCCTGGGCAACCTGTTCCAGTGCCTCACCACCCTCACAGTGAAAAATTTCTTCCTAATATCTAATCTAAATCTACTCTCTTTCAGCTTATACCCATTACCCCTTGTCCTCTCACTACACTCCCTGATAAAGAGTGCCTCCCCATCTCTCCTGTAGGACCGCTTCAGGTACTGGTAGGCTGCTATTAAGTCTCCTCAGAGCCTTCTCTTCTCCAGGCTGAACAACCCCAATTCTTTCAGCCTTGCACTTGGCCTTGTTAAATTTAATGAGGTTGGCATTGGCCCACCTCTCAAACCTGTCCAGGTCCCTCTGGATGGCATCCCTTCCCTCCAGCGTGTCCACCACACCACACAGCTTCGTGTCATCGGCAAACTTGCTGAGGGTGCACTTGATCCCACTGTCCATGTCTCCGACAAAGATGTTAAACAACACTGGTCCCAGTACCGACCCCTGTGGAATGGAACACCACACCACTCGGACATTGAGCCACTGACCACAATTCTGAGTTCGGCCATCTAGCCGATTCC